CACCCCCCCCCCCCCCCCCTCCTTCTCCCTCCCCGCGCCAACGCCTCCACCGCCGACCCCCGCTCTGCCAGAGGCCGTCGCCTCCGGCGGTACAACCCCGCCGCCGGGGGGCGGTCCGGGAGTACCGGGGGGCGGGGGGAGGCGCCGTCCGTCTTCTCCGACCAGGGACACGCCGGACACCCCCGTCCCTCGCGAGGCTCGCGAGTTTGATCTCCCCGGTGCCGCCGCCGCCGCCGCCGCCGTGGTGTCTGGCGGAGTGGAGGAGGTCAGGTACCCCGCGGCGCCGCCTACCGCCGCGGCGCCCCGCTGGGCGTAGGCCCCGTTCCCGTCCTCGGCCCCCCGCGCGCGCAGGTCTGGGCGTGTAGGGGGAAGAAAAAACGAACGTTAGGTGCGGGAGGCGGGGGTGCGTACTCATGTGAACGCATGCCGTAGGCCACGGACCTCGCATGCCGGGACGGAGCGATATGCCGGGTTTTTCGCCGGCCTAGGCTACACGTTTTACAAAGGTGAGCCAGAAGATGGGGGGGGGGGAGCCAGTTTTTCTGCGCTTCAGGCGACAAAACCACGGGGCTTCCTCCTCCTCTTCGCTAGGCGGAGAGATCGTTTGTACAATTTTGGGCGCGTCTTCACTATTGGTAGTCATTTCAGAGATAAGAGCACGCGCGGGGACGTGTCGATGATCTGGAGAGCCCAAGGAAACCATACATAGCTCGACGCAAAAGAACAGCAGACACGAGCGCAGAAACATGTAAACAGAAAAAAGATGATACGTGTTGTGGGGCTACGGCAAACAGAGAGAGAAAAAAAAACTCCGGGATCTTAGACACCGAAACGAATCAAGCGCAGGCTCCTCCACGCCCGCGTGCAAACCCCATTCCGGTTGGAACTGACAGAGAAAAAAAAAAAGAAAAACATGACCGGTTTCACCTCCGTCACCGTCGTCTTCCTCGTCCCACGGGGGGCACAGCCCGGCGGGCCTCAAGACTTTCCTACGCGCGGAGGACGCCAGGGCACGCACCGCCGCCGCCCTCTCTAGTTCCGGCGAGCCTGACCAAAAAACAAACAGAGAAGCAACCAGAAACGGGTATACCCGCGCGTGGATTATCAACGTTTCAGGGTATGTACACTTGGAAATCAACACGACGCCAATCTCCGACAGCATCCGCCGCCGTAGATCGCGGCGAAACCAGTAAACCGCTGTCTGTGTGTCCTCAGTCCTGTGCCTCGGAAACACGATGCACGAGGCAGGTCGTGCCCGTTTTTCTCTCTCTCGCTCTGTGCCTCCATCTCTCTGTGTGCATTTACTGATCACCACCACACCACTCCGAACGAACTCGTGCGTCGAGTCCGACCCTCTGTCGAGAGTCTGTCGAGAGGGGCCGGTATCCTATGGGGGCGGTGCCCATCAACGAGCGAGCGTTTTTGGTGTGGGTATGTATGTGCGGTCCACGGTATGTGCGGTCCACGTTTTTTTCTGCGGGTTTCATGCTAGAGCGTCGTACGCCGGGACTATATGACTATTTCTGGGTACAAAATCGACCTCTTCCGGGTACACCAGTAACCAATATCGGTCACACCAGAGGGTC